AGCCTCAAATCCACACCGTCCCTAAATATTCTATCTATTTCACCATCCCCTACAAAGGCCCACTCAGTTTCACCCTTAGAAATAAACTTAGAAGCTTTTCAATGAATTCTATCCACAAATTTCTCTTAGACTAATCTTTAAAACCCAGAGTTCAATTAAAAAATTCTTTAAAATTAAAGACACCATACCCACACACCTGCAAATCCTCAGTTGTTTATCAATTTACGTGTGCTAGGTGTAGGGCAGCATATATAGGTAAAACAAAAAGACATTTGATAACTCGCATCCATGAACACTTGGGCCGTTCCGTCCGAACAGGGCAGTTAATCACACAACCACCACATTCAACTATTCGTAACCACGCCCACCATTATGACCACCCGTTTTCGCCGTCCGATTTCTCAGTTCTCGGCAGGAGCAACTGTGAGACGGACCTCCTCATTATGGAAGCCTCGCATCAGTATAAAGAAAAGCCATCCATTTGTGATATATCTTCCTGTGAATTGTTATATTTTTCGCACTAAGGCTCATCTAAATTAAGGTAATACCCCCTATATATTTTTATTTCACACTTTTTTATTCCTGATTTTACCTTTGTACGTAGGTCTCTCGTCATTTTTGTCTGTTTTAAATTGGATTGCTCTTTTTTTAAATTTTATCGAAGGTAAATTTTCGTATAATGTTGTTTTTATTGTATATCACCTGTATTTTAAAACTTTTTCAAAACTTTGTGTTTTCTAGGCTCTGATGATGGAAAATGATTTTTCCGAAACATTAGTGATTAAAAGAAACCCAACTTAGTCAAGATGTTTGTATTTTCCCTGGTTCTCCTCTTCGTTATGAAACTACGCTCTCCACGTAACAAGTCCATTGCTGAAGTTATATATATATATATATATATATATATATATATATATATATATATATATATATATATATATATATATATATATTTCATTAGCTCAATATAGCGAACTTCTACATACAATCAACACCTCAGAGGTGTTGATTGTATGTAGAAAATCGCGTGCTTTAAACTAATGAATATTATAGTTCCTCGTGTTTCGAAGCCGGATTTGGTAAAACGTTACTCTGACCACCTACGTGATACTGGTAGTGCCCATTAGAGGTTCACGACGCCTTAAGCTCGTTGAACAGGCTTTGTGTGAAATATAACAAAGTCTAAGACTACTTTAAGTATCCAGGTGGTCCAGCGGTCAGCGTTCCCGTCACAGTCGTGGGCCGTGGGTTCGAATCCTGGCAGGTTGAGGTGTTGATTAATTATATATATATTATATATATGGGTGCTCCCTGATTTACGATGGGGTTAGGGACCCAAATCCAGGTCGTAAGTCTACATAGATTAAAAAAAAAAAAGCACAGTAAAAGTAATAAATAATGAGGAATGGACACAGTGTGGCTGAGCACTTAGCTTTAATGTAGTCAGCTGAATGCACACGGGGTCCCCATAATTTTCTATTCACAGGTATACATGGAGACTATATTAATTGGATGAAGCAGAGGAGACAGGGCTGGGTGGGTCATCAATGTCGCTTTCTTCAGACAGGTTTATGTACTGTGGAAACTTGCTGGTTGAAGGTATTGGATCATCTTGAGGGAGTGAAGAGGCAGCACTGGTGGGGCGTGAGGAGACAGCACTGGGGGACTTCTTAAAATAGTTATCCAATTTAGACTGCACAGTTTGCTTTTTCTTTTCATTATTAATTTCTCTCTAGCAAGCAAGTGCATCTTGGATCATTCTGTCAACTTTGGCATAATGCTCATAATTTTGATCCATGCCATCAAACATTTGCATTCCTTTATTAATTGTAGTAAATGCCTCTGCCATTTGCTTCACTGATAACTTTTTGGGGGTGCAGGTCCTTCTTCTACATTTAGACTGGCTTCTTCCTCTGCATCTTTGTGTGCTTCCAGTTCGATGAGATCTTCGTTATTGAGCTCTTCTGCTACACTTTCAACCAACTGTTCAACATCTTCATTATCAATTTCTAACTCAAGCTGTTTACCTAACTCCACTATCTTGTTACTAATATCCGAAATAACTTCATTTTCATTAAATCCTCTTAAACTGTGCACATATCTTTTCAGGATTTTCTTCCATATTCCATTCATGCAATGTTTTGTAACCTGATCCCATGCTGTACTAATGTTCTTTATACATGACAAAATGTTGTAGTCCTTCCAAAACTCTCTGAGTGTTTTCTCACCTTCAGTAGCAGCAACAGCCTGAGCGAAGGTCGTACGTAAATAATACGCTTTAAAGGCAGCAATAGCACCTTGATCCATGGGTTGGATGACAGAGGTAGTGTTAGGTGGAATGTACACTACCTTAACATCAGGGTGCATGTCGTCCAGGTGTGGTGGGTGTCCCGGAGTATTATCCAAAATCAGCAAAATCTTGAATGGAATCCGTTGTTGCAGACAATACTCCTTGGCTCGAGGAATGAAACAATTCATGAACCAATCCTCAAACAGTACAATGGTCATCCAGGCTTTCTTGTTACTGCGAAAAAAAACCCTGGCAGTGTGTGCTTGCTGACATGTTTAAAAGCCCTGGGGTTCTCTGAATGATAAATCATGAAGGGCTTTAGCTTGAAACCAGCAACATTCCCCTCCAACAGAAGTGTAATTCTGTCCTTGAATGCCTTGAATCCTGGCATTGTTTTCGCCTCTTTGTGGATGTATGTCCGCTCAGGCATGCGCTTCCACAAAAATCCAGTCTCATCCACATTGAATATTTGCTCAGGCAAATAATTCCCTTCCACAATCACATCATCTAACTCCTCCTTAAAAGCTTCGGCAGCACCAACATCATCACTAGCTGCCTCTTCACTCACTTTAACATTGTGTAAACTGTAGCGTTTTTTAAATCTATTAAACCACCCATGACTTGCTGTAAAGGTTTGCTCACATTCATCTCCTGCCTGCTCCTTCAGGCTTTGGAACAGGCTTCTTGCTTTATCCTGTAAGGTTAGAAGGCTTAAGGGAACACGCTTCTGTGTTTGGTCTTCTATCCATATCACCAATAATTTTTCCATATCGTGAATAGGACCTTGTATTTTCTTTGAAATTATAGTTCCCTTTATAGGTGTTGTTCCTTTCACTACATCACGAATACATTCCTTGTCCTTCAGAATAGTGGATATGGTCGAGTGCCAGAAACCTAGGTCGCGTGAGATTGTTGCTACAGTTTTACCATTCTCATACTGCATTATTATCTTCATTTTCATCTCAAAAGTAATTGCCTGTCTCCTTTTCTTCGGAGCACCACCAGCACTCTCAATTGTACGCTTTCCAGTCATTATACAGTAATGTCAATTAAATACGATAATAACGTAAGTACACAGCGCGATCAGTATAGGATATGATAGCCAAACACCAACTAAGCGCTGTACTGAGTGAGTGTACCCACGCAGTGACCAAAGTTAGCCACGCTCTCGCTCAGGATGGAAACGTTTCGGTATAGAAAATGCGCGCGTCATTTGAAAAAAATTTTGGTCACGACTGTGGCGGTCGTAGGTGCGGACGGTCGTACGGTCAGAGCACATCATAAGTGCGGATTGACATAAGTTTGGTTAGTCGTAAGTCGGGGAATATATATATTTTGTAATTTTGTAATTAAGAAGATTTATAACCAGGTGAGAAGGCCGGGTCACCTGACCATCTGACCTGACCACCAACCGTTGTGTGCTATTTAAAGATTAGTAGGGTCATTACCTAATACCTGACCATTGTGGACCTGGTCTCACCCTCCTCTGTATATATACACCTTGGTTTGTATTTCTCTCTCTAGTCTGTACTCACCCCTGAAGATGTGAATTACACGAAAGCACTTGGGAACTTCGTGTTTTCTTCTTTCCTTGTGGTTATCTAGCATATACAGATCATACTTTCTGGTAATTTACTTGCATATATATATATATATATATATATATATATATATATATATATATATATATATATATATATATATATATATATATATCATGTAAATCCACAATGACAACGTGGATAAGATAAATCTTGATAAATCACACAGGAAGATGAAACAGCAGGTACCTTGGCTTTCGTCTTTATATATATATATATATATATATATATATATATATATATATATATATATATATATATATATATATATATATATACATACAGGTTGACAATCCTTTATCCGAAATCCTTGGGGCCAGAGGCATTTCGGTTTTCGGAATTTTTCGGTTTTCAGAATGGTTAGTTTTTTTTATGTGTATTAGCCCACCCGAGCATAGATCACTGACCCACATTGGGGCCTGGGGGTCTAAAATATAATAAAAATTATAATAATAATAATAATAATTCCTAGGTCTAGGTCGTGTTTCTCACTTTTGATCTTTTATTCATTCTTGTATTTCTTTACTGTATTATTATTTTATTATTACAGTATTATTGTTATTATTATCATTATTAATTTTATTATTATATTTTATTATTATTATTATTATTATTATTATTATTATTATTATTATTATTATTATTATTATTATTGTAATCATTATTATTTTATTTTGGTGTATAATTATTAAAAATTTTATTTACTATGAATAATTATTATTATAATTATTATTACTATTACATTTTTGCCCCCCAGGCCCCGATGTGGGTCAGTGATCTGTGCCTGGCTGGGCTAATAATCCCTGTTAAAAAAAATAAATAAATAAAAAAATTTCCCACAAAAAACTTTCGGTTTTTAGAGCTTTTCGGTTTTCGGAATTTCGAATAAAGGGTTGTCAACCTGTATATATATATATATATATATATATATATATATATATATATATATATATATATATATATATATATATATATATATATATATATATATATATATATATATTGATAAAATCACACAGGAAAAAGGTAACAATGGAGCATCTTAGCTGTATATATATATTAGGTTTAAAGTAGACAATCAGTATAGATAGTGAGAGTTGTTAACTCACAGTGTAAAGGGTCTTGGTGTAGGGGTAAGCATTCCAGGACTTCTCATGCACTTCCAGGGAGCCTTCTGGTGCCAGCAGGCGGATGAAGGCAGGTACCTTGCTGTAATACAAATGAGGTTGTCGCCGCTAATAATGTATCATGACTTGGACAGCCAGATTTGACTTTTTTTTGTTTAGAGTTTAGAGGCACTAAGGAAGCTAATGTGTTATGTAGTCTTACATAGCTTAACCAAAGTTAATCTGACATAGGTTTAGTTATTACTAACTGGAGCACCTGGTGTTGCCGAGTTTGTTTTTGAGGGGCAGCTCATAGCCTATGTCTGTTACTACTCTATAAACTACAGTAACATATACATTGTCATCTACACTCACTTTTAGGTGGGATCATTCCCCACAAGGCCAGTGGGGGGTATTGAGACTGAAGGAAATGTTATTATACTGAATGACTCCTGTCACTCTTGCCACACAATTTTTTTGTAGTTAAATAAAAAACATATCACTGAGATGCACATCCAGTGTCCCATTAGTATGCATCCAAATGTTCAGGGCTCTGGGTTTCATGGTCTTGGAGCTATAGTACACAAACACACACACTACATCCTTGACCACCAGAGGGTCAAGACCTACCAGGTGCTGCTGTGCAGCGGCCTCCCCTTGGCCATGTTCTGCCCTCTCACCCCGACCCATCCTCACCACCAGGATATCAACATAATCAAAAGTGACAATTTCTTTTCTGAAAGAAGTGGGATCAGTGATAAACAGTGTTTAAGCCAGTGAATTCAGCACTAGACAGTACCAGTGAGAGCAGTAACCCACCACTGAGATAAGCAGCCCTGGGTGTACTGCGCACATCATAGTCATTCCTAAAAACCCCCTTTAATTCATATTACGCTACATAATGTTCAAATCCGCCGCGCTTGTAGAATCTCAGAAAACGGGAAACATTGATAAAGAATAACTCGCCTAATGAAGGTTACGGAATTGTTTGATGAACTGTACCCAACTCCGGGTATATAATATTAATTGTATGTACTCATAGCATTAAGGAAAACTCAAGGTATCTATAAGATGAATGGAAAAGTCCAATTGCTCCGGCCTAGTGTATTTTAGGACTAAGTGTAGATCGTGGTTTGAAGGTCATACTATTTACGTCTATGAACGTGGTGAACATAGCTTCCGCAGATATCAGATAAAACTATGAAAAGAACATTGATTTGGAAAAAAAATAAAGGTATCAGAACTATGTGAAGTGTTGGAAATGATCCAGAAACCATGCGTCAAAGAGAATATCTTGTATACCCACGCCATGAAGCTATGAACATTCGGCTTTTGTTTCAGGGTAGCGTCCTTTGTACCCGGACTACAGGTTTGAGTTGATGATATAGCCCAATTAATTTCCCCAGGAACTGTCAAACCTGAGCCGTATTCTAGTATGTAAGTTAGGATTAAGATATGTATTTATCCGGCATAAGGTCATGATAAACAGGAAAGTGTTCATGTGAGAACCATAAGAATTCAAAGTGAAAATTAAAGATTGGAAACTGTAGGCCTGGTCGATGAGAGGCGCAGGACCTCGCCCTCAGTGGCACCTATTCTCTCATCAACACAGGTCAGTGAACTTCATTGGGCTATATTCAGCCCTAAAAAAAGACTTATAAAGCAGTTATTACAGCTTAAAACTTTGCCTGAAAGTGAAATAGTAATGTGTTGGGGAGGGTGATAACGGCCCATCAGGCATTATTTCTCACCAACACAGGTTCCCCGGGTTTTGAACTCACCAGAACGGCGGCCATTACCTCGTGTTGGCCCCCACCTGTGTGAGATGACTACTCACAGCTATGCTACTCTGCTGTGAACCTGTGGATTCCCGGCATACCACCACACATGAGTAGGAATACATAATGGAATGTTTGAGAAACTCCGCGGTCGTCACTTGGAGCGACCTATAATACCAAGCGTAGAAACAGTACTGGTATGTCTCTTGGTGAAGCCCTCGTCTCTACCCCCCGAGGGCGGTGTGCGAATGAGGTGCCTGATATGTGTACCTAGAAATTACAAGGAGTCCCATACTTGCAGGTGTGGAGTGCAACAGGTGTGGTGAGATGGTGCTACTATGTATGATAACCTAAGGTGCTATATTCCATACAGGTGGAGCAGTCTGATGTGTTGAGTGTTATTGTAAGAAGGGATGACCGAGGTGAGGTCACTGATTGTTATGCGCAATAAGTATGTGGATGACACGCAATTAATGTAAGACGTCTGTTGTTGAGCAGTGTAACCAAAATCATCGTTATTCTTCTGAGGAAGGCCAACTCACTTGAATTTTAACGGAATGCAATATGTTTTATAAGGAATAAATTAGTTAAGACATGTTATTGTTTCATCCTTCTTTCCCTTATCGATCTGGTCAATGAAAAACCCTGCCTAGTTCACTCTGCCCGCTACCTAACGAGATACTGCCCAGAGGGGGTCTGGTGGCAGCAATCCTTAGAAATTAAGAATAGAGTTAAGTTATCCCCTTAGACTTAGTGACCTCAGAATCTGGTAATATATGGGAACTGACCACCATCTTCTGACCAGGAGGTGCAAATCAGTCCACAATGGGAACAACAGTGGGTCGGCTTCACACCTGACTACGAGATAACACAACACCACATAGCAGAGAGTGAGGTCCTGTGACACCACCCCACACCACCTGGTGTCTTCATGACCATGTGAGGTCTTTCATCTCAACACCTACGGACGTGTTACTGCACCACTTGAACACCACTCCACCCTGTGTCTCCATGACCCCGTGAGGTCCATCATATCAGCACTTGATAAAAAAGTTACCTTGTTAACCTAGCTACCTTCAAGTACTATCACACCAGGGGCCAGGTCACATTTCCTACAACATCTAGGTATGCTTGTCATGAATTCATGAGCATGTGTCAGAGAGGAGACAAATAGCGATATGATGTGGATTACAGTGTTATGTAAATTAAAGTATATATTCTTGAATGTATTAAATCATTACTATCATAATTCTCATCTATGTGGGGCGGAGGGTGGGTAAGGGGACCAGAGGGGAGATAAAGAGATACTATAGATGGAAAGATATTTTGTAAAATAGTCTTACAAGTTTACATTGATTCATCACATTTACATACTTGCTTATGGCAGTCCATCTTAGGCTGATGACGACGTTGCTCCTAGTTATTAAAGGGTAAAATTTGAATGCCAATGGCATTGAAGCCACTTCCTTACATATTCACTTATATATTTTACACCTCTGTTTCCTTGTAAAGTTGCCAAGTTCATTAACATCTTTGCACCTTCAATCACCACTCTTTCCTCATTGAACCCTCCCTCACAAAAACAAGAGCCTGCCTCATATTTGTACACACTATCAACATTTGTTTCTTCAACAATACACTGTATTATATCTTGACGTGGCCATCAGGATGACGGGTGTGTGCTTTAAAATATGATGTGTTAAACTCATACAAATAACTCTCATGATCAAAATGCCTCAATGTATCTCCCATCAGGAATGCCAGTGACACCATTTCAATTGTGATCAACAATTTCAGTAGTGTCAATTGTGTTGCCTTGCTGAAAAAGCATGAGTGGAACAATTGTTAATAGCACAAATCTTCTGTTCTGATACACTGCTGTTTTGCTCTTTTGGAACAGTGTTTCAATGATAGTGTGGGGTTTTTGATGTTTGGTTCACACTCAGGATGGAATGGAGAAAGGAAACTCACAATGTGCTCTCTATATACATGTTGTATTGGATGTACAATGCAGCTTGGTGCTGGGAAGGCAGCATGGTTACAAGCGTGATGTAGAGAGAGCTGGTTGGTGAGGACGCTCAGAGAAGGACAGCTTGTGGGTCGCCATGCTCGCCGGCGGGAGCGAGGGCCGCCAGGCAGCGGCGGAGGAGGTGTTGCTGGCTGGTTGGTGGAGGTAGAAAAGAGACAGGTCACCACGAGGTCAGGTCTTAAATAGCGGGGGGTAGGCGTGGCTTAGTAGTTGACCCCCGCTCCGTGATGTATGGCGGGGCTGGTTGACCTAGACCACGAGGCATACACTGGGGAATTGGTGGGGTCGGCTACTCAGCGACAAACAGAGTTTGTAGGGGAGAAATCCACTACAATACTCCCCCTTCCCTCCAGGCGGTGTAGGAGACTTGTTGTCTGCAGGGTTGCATAGCACATGTGAGGCAGAACGGGCGGTGCATGCCTCATGTGAGACAACGGCGATGGCGTGGATAAGCCGGTCGCTGGATACAACTGTCTAGATACACAATATCTGTGGGAGTAAAGAGGGAGAAAGAGGGTGTGTGGAGGCGATGAATGTTGTGCTTCCCTCACGGCAGGTACAGAGTCGTCAGATGCGCCTGCTGGGGTGTGTGGGCCTGGGTCAGGAGCAGGGGCTGCGTCAGCAGAAGCGGATGAGGGCTCGTGACAGCAGCTGGGTCCACGACAGCAGCAGGGTGCAGGACATTAGCAGGGAGTACCTGAGGGAGAAAAGAGGGGAGTGTGGGTCCGCACTCAGGAACAGAGGCCGCATCAAGGGCGGCAGGGGTTACTGTTGGGCCGGGGGCGGCGTCTGAGGCAGGATGGGTGTGCTGGGGTCGGTAGGACGTGGTGCTTGGGGCAGGAAGAGGAGCTGGTGTCTGCTTAGAGAAGCAGTGCTGCTCTAGGGTGTCTAACCTGCGGTGTAGAGACAGTAGTTGTAGAGCCGATGAGAGCTGCTTCTGTGTGGATAAGCCAGTCTTCCATGTTGCTTGAAGACTGGGAGCGTGATCAGTTTCTCCTCCATCCTGTGTGAGTGCGAATCTCCAGGAGTCACCATTTGTGGGGTTTTTGATGTTTGGTTCACACTCAGGATGGAATGGAGAAAGGAAACTCACAATGTGCTCTCTATATACATGTTGTGTTGGATGTACAATGCAGCTTGGTGCTGGGAAGGCAGCATGGTTACAAGCGTGATGTAGGGAGAGCTGGTTGGTGAGGATGCTCAGAGAAGGACAGCTTGTGGGTCGCCATGCTCGCCGGCGGGAGCGAGGGCCGCCAGGCAGCGACGGAGGTGTTGCTGGCTGGTTGGTGGAGGTAG